ATAAATAAACCTAATCAAGTCTTTGGTAAGTCTTCGGTAATCAAGTCTTTGGTAATCAAGTCTTTGGTAATCAAGTCTTTGGTAATCAAGTCTTTGGTAATCAAGTCACTGTAGAACACTGTAGAACACTGAATTTATGCAATTGTTTTTGAAAAAACTAAAGATTAGAACGAAGAAACTAAAAAACAGGTGCTTTATAACATTTTAAAGTTGTATCATGGAACATTGTGTTAAACTCAGTACTTTGATGGTCTAGCAAAGGAACCGTTATAACCAATTTAAAATAATAGAAAATACAATTTTTAGGCTTGTTTAAAGCATATTTGAAGGTGTTGATCAACAACATTTTTAAGTGGAGACAAACATTTTTTAATGCTTGAATAAAATTCAAACTACAAAAAAAATTATTTTTACTTGTCTGCACAATCATGCAATTAAAAACATTTCTAGTTATAAAAAGTGAAACAATAAAATCAAAAGTTGTTTTAACTTAAGTAGAAAAGAAGCAGTAGAAGAGGTTCCACAATTAAATGTTGATATTTAAAAATATTCCTCAAGACAGAAAACTACAGAAATAACTTTTGTAAAGTATCCATGCCATGATTTCACATTTATTCATAATATTCAAAGAAAAATCATTAATAGCTTTTATTAAAACATTGTGTAGAAAAGGGCAGCAAAAACATTTTAAACTTTTTCATAACTTAAGAAGATAAAGAAGGCTCTTTGACAACAATCAGGATAATAAATTTCAGAAGTCTCATATGGGGATGAATTTGGCCAAAATCTAGATAAAGAAATTTAATTTTTTTGCCACAAAAGCTTAACTATCCACACTAAGGAGCAAAGAATAGATTTTATTGATGGAATTTTAAACTTCTTGTATTAAGTCTCTGTCTTCCTTTTTTGTATCCAAAGGATATTACAATAATAAAAATTATACACCATTAATATTTGGTTGCCTAACTTTAAAAGAAGTGATGATTTTCTCCATTATTTCTCTCCTTACGGACTAACTTAAATTTGTATTTTCTTGCAAAATTTTGAAATAAGCGGCTATATTCTAAGGATAATAAAAAATAAATTATGCAGGATGTATGTTGAAAGGGCAGTCCAAATTTAATTTTTCATATTTGAAACTTTTTCTTTCCTTTTATAATTCAAAATGCAAGTTATTAAAACTCAATAAAAATTTTACTCAGGGTGTATGAAAAAAGGGAAGTCCAAAGTTTGTCCTAACTGAAATAATAATTTTTATTTTTTTTTTAAACTAATAAAAGAAAATATTTAAATAATTAAATTTTACATAATAAAATAAAAAAAGATAATTCAAGTTTGTAGTTGCAAACTGCAATAAGAAAAATGCAACTCAAAAGTTAGTTTAACCTCCATCAAAATATTTAACTTGACTTAAGTATTAATCACAAAATTATGAAACCGAAATACAATTATGAAGTCTGGTTTAAAATTTCTTATTAACCATTTCAGATAATTAACAGTGCATAATTTTGCTTAGTTATTATTTTATTCCAACAATATATTCAAGTTAAAAAACTTTTATTTGATTTTTAGCATTTTATTTGATTTTTAGCAATTAAAAGCATGTACATAAATAATGGTGTGTCATAATTTGTCTACATAATTTGTCTACATGCTTTTAATTATTTTAAAATATTTAAACAAATAAAGAATAAAATAAAGATCTTTTTTTATAATCTATTAAAATAAAAATATGCAACTTGTTTATCATCTAGTTCTTGAAAATGTTTCAAACAAACCTTTTTTGCAAGCCTTTCTACATATGTTTGTGTCAATTTGTGCACAATCTTGTTCAATCTGCTTAAGAAGTTCATTAATTGATTTGTCAACAAATCAATGTATGTATCAGTTGTATACAATATTTTTTTAAGTAGCCTCAAAGGAAGATGTCCGGATTAAAGAAGTTGGGTAAACAAGCAGACTATTTTTTTGGCTATTTTATTTAACAATGGATATGTATACCTTGTATATCTATCCATTGTTGAAGAAACTATCAATCAAACCAGCTTTTTACTTGATATGAAAAATTGGCAGATGTTACATATTGATAAAAATATCACATTGTTTAATTTAAGTTGATAATAACTCTTGATGGAAACATCAAAAAAGTTTAGACCATCAGAAATTATTCCACACCATTACTTCGTTTGAGTTCGGCACAGGTATTTGTTTGTGCTAATTAGAGTGGCTCATTAGCAGCAATTATAACAATTTATACTTTTAATACAATTTTTTAGTTTCAATTGTCTGACTAAATACCAAATATTTATCAAACTTTGACAATCTGATATCACATAAACCCTTTCATCAAAATCACATTCATTTTGACTATAGTACTGGACTTAGTCTGACTCATTGAAAGCTTCTTGACAGCTTCTGGCAGATTCTTCTTGACAGCTTAATAATAAATGCTTGCGCTCATTCACATTTTAATAGTACCCTTTAGAATGGAAAAATCAGT